ACGCGGTAGGGATCCTCCCGCACGATCACGTGGGTCACCCCGGGACCTGCCAGGGAAAACGGGGGGCGGGGGGGTGAGCCAGGGGGGCACTGCCCTCCCAGCAACCCCCCAGTGCCACCAGCAGGGCCACCCACCTCCATACTGGTGGCCGTAGTGGCCCGAGCTGATGTAGGCGGCCTGGTGCGAGTCCAGCGGCACCGTCTGGTAATAGTCGTCGTCGTAGGGGTCGTACACGTGCACCTGGGGCAGGGGGGGTTCAGCAGGGGGGCTCGAGGGGCTGTGCCCCCCTGTCACCCCAAGGGGGGATGGGGATGGGGCCGCTTGGGGACCCTTGTGCTGCTGCCAGGGGATCCGGAGGGGCTGAAGGGCTGGGGCAGCCTGGGCTCAGCATTGGCATTGTCTGCCCCTGCTCAGCCACCCTGGGTCTGCTGCCCCTCACTCTGACCCTGCTCTGGCACCTTAGCAGTGTCCCTGTCACCTTACCTGTGTCCCTGTCACCTTGCTGATGTCCCTGTCACTTTAAATTTGCTCCCATTCCCTTTAACAGTGTCCCTGTCACCTTAACTGTGTCCTACCACCCCAACTCTGCCCCCGCTCCCCTTAATGGTATCCCATTCCCTTTAACTGTGTCCCTGTCACCTCAGCTCTGCTCCCATTCCTCTTAATGGTGTTCCTGTCACCTCAGCTATGTCCCTGTCACTCAGTGGTATCCTACCAGCTTAACTCTGCCCCCATTCCCCTTAGTGATGTCCCATTCCCCTTAGCTGTGTCCCTGTCACCTCAGCTCTGCTCCTATTCCCCTTAGCCGTGTTCCTGTCACCTCAGCTCTGCTCCCATTCCCCTTAGCCGTGTCCCTGTCACCTCAACTCTGCTCCCATTCCCCTTAGCTGTGTTCCTGTCTCCTGAACTGTGTCCCATTCCCCTTAGCTGTGTCCCCATAGCCCTGTGTCCCCTGCCACCTTAACTCTGCCCTGTCACCGCCCCTGCACTGCACAGGGTCCCCTCGGCTCTGTCCCCTCCCACCAGTGGTGGCATCCAACACTTCCCCCCTTCTCCCCTGTGGCTCCAGGGACTTCCCTCCCTGTGCCCCCTTGTGCATGAGGGGTCTCGAGGAGCCCCCCAAGCTCCGGGTCAGCCCTGGGTGAGGGCTGGGGTTGGGGTAACCTGCCCCCCTCCATCCCAAATCCCAAATCCCAGGGTGGGATGTGCCCCTGCTCTGGGGCACGAAGCCTCACCGGGGTGGATTTAGCTTCCAGCACAGCCATCTTCCAAGCACTGCAACAAAACAGAGGGACTTGGATTTGGGGGTGCTGGGGGTGGGAATTGTCCCCATTCCTCCCCGGGGACCTCGATATGGCACTAATCCCTAATTCCCTGTTGAGAAGCGCTGGGATAACAAGTGGGGATGGGAAGGTGCCAGGAGGTGCCAAACACCACAGGGCAGTTCCTGGGAATGGGCTCAGCTAAAACCAGGGCAGGCAGGAATATGGCATCCAAATTTAGGGGGAAAAGCAGGTAATGGGATAATTTCCATCCAGCTGGGGCCAAGCTCAGTTAATCAAGCTCAGCTTGGCCATGGCTGAACTGTCCCTCCATCCCAGCTCAGCTGAAGCTTTCTCACTTTTAATTTTTTACAATTAAAAAAAGCTTTTATTAAAAAAAGCCCAGTTTTATAAAAATAAATTTTTAACCTTATTTCCAATTTTCTTTTAGAAATCGAGAGAAGGGGAGCCGTGCTAAAAACGGGAGTTTGCCTAAAGCCAGAGGGGAGTTCACGTTCCCACTATTTATCCCTATTAATCAGTGGAAACCCTTTTCCAGGGATCCTCAGTCTGGCCAAGAGGGGATTTGTGATCCATGAGGAAATCCCACCCCACAGGGGATGGACTGCTTAAAAACAGCTGCATCTGCCTCGGGATTATCCAGCGGGAAACCCAAACCTCCTCCTGTGCCTTTCGCCCCGTGAGTGGGTTTGAGGGAACAGGGGCTGTGGGAGGGGGTTTAGCCACGGGTGGGACGTTGTGGGAGCGGCACAGGGCTCTTCCCAGGCCGGGACAATCGGCATGAAAAGGGCCCCGAGGGTGTGGCAGCTTACACGGCGTCGTCCTGGCTCTCGGCGCACAGCGTGGTCTTGGAGCCGTCCCGCAGCACCACGGTCAGGAGGCATTCCCGGCTCCTCCCCTCGGGAGGCTGCACCTCTGGGAATGCGAGGGCAGGGATCAGCCTCAGCCAAGACCCAAGACCCTCCCTGTCCACCCCCGGGCTCCAAATCCCCCTGGCACAAGAGCTGATGGATAACTGCACTGGGGGATTCATTTGGGCTCTGTCAGGATCCCAAAGCTTAAAAGCAACACGAGGAGTGGGCTGGTGGCCAGAAACCTCCACCCCCAGGGCAGAAAGGACGTGGAAGGGCAGGAAACTGCCAAAAATGTGCCCGAGCTGCATCTGCTTTGAACTTGCCAGAGTGCACCCGAATTCCGTAGGAACGGGAGTCGCTCCTCACTGGATTTGCACCACGAGCTCCAGCAGGAACAAAACCTTAAATCCATGAGGCTCCTGTGCCTTGCCCTGTTTTCCAGGCTCAGCAGGACCCTTGGGGTGAGCACACAAAGCTTTGGGATTGTGCTCCCACGGCAGCTCTAGCCCCAGAAAGGCTCTTTGTGCAGCAGCCGTGGGCTGTGGGGCCCAGCCAAGCCGGGCTTTGTTCTCCCTGTTTGTGCGAGACGGAGACGGATGAGTCAGGAACGTGGGATCATGTTTTCAACAAGCACAAACCAGAAGGAGAGTCCCTCCTTCCTTCCCTCCTTCCTTATGGAAAAGCAATGGGAGAGAAGATGCAATGAGCATCTCCTGGGGGATGGCTTGGGAAAGGAGTGAATGAGGCAGCCCACGTTAATTTTGGGGTATCTTGGATGTGCATGGGCAGAGCGGGATTTAGAAGGGTCACAGCCATCTGGAGAGCCCTGGGATGGGGTTGGGGATGTGGGGCTTGGCTCACCCTTGCACTCCCGGCTGATCCGGACGTCCCGGCAGCTGTACTTGATGTGGATCCGGCCGTCCATGTCCCGCTGCGTCTCATCGTGGTAGTAAACCAGGCTGCCGTCCAGGTACAGCACAAACCAGTTCCTCTTCCAGCGGCGCAGGATGGAGCCTGGTGGCACGGGGAGGAGGTGAAGGTCCCCGGTGATCCCGCTGGGACACAACCAGCTCGCTCACAAGACCCCCATGCCATCCCCTGGACTTGCAGCCGGATCCCTCCAGCCCCTGCGAGCCGCTGGACACCTGTGCCTGGCACGGGCATCCAGGGCACCGTGACCAGGTGGCTTTGAATTTCAAGGGGCTGCCAAAAAAGCCATCAGGGCGTCCTGGAGCTGCCTGGGAAGGGCTCCAGCCCCGGACATGGAGCCGTGTGTCTGTTCCTGTGGCAGCAGCCCCTCTCCCCGCTTACGTAAATCCCACAATCTCCCTGCCGTGGATTAACCGCCCAGGTCGGGGCTCCTCGTGTCCCCCCACTCCCCGCCCCTTCCCAGCATCCCAGAACCTCTCCTGGTTTTTTTTCTGGGAGGGCTCCCAGCCTGGAAAGCCAAAGGGTTGCACTTACTCTGCCGCCAAAGCCAACCGCTCTTCACCAGCGCCATGGCTGCCCGAAGATGTCCCGGATCCGCTGGCACAGGAAAAATAACAGGGTTAAGACAGCAGCTTCTGCCTCTCCCCCTGGCTCTCACCTCCCTCCAGCCTCCGGGAGGGAAGTGGAGTGGGGATTCACTCTTGTTGCTCCCGGTTTTTCTTGGGGATGAGCTCAGCGCGCGGGTTAATCGGGGTTAGACAGGCGCGGGATTTCGTCATGTGGGAAACGTCGCGAAGGCAGGAGGAGGAACTCCAGCCACCTTGCTCTCTGCCTCTAATCCCATTGGGATTTAGGGATTATCAGCCCGTGGAGGTAAGTGGAGAAATCCGGGCCGTGGATGCAAACAGGCAGTGGCTCCCCACGGCCCCAGTAACTTTCCATGGGCAATGACACCTGCACTTGTTTGTTTTCCCTGCCTGGGTGGAAATTAGTCCATAATAAGGCCATGAAGTCATCGCTCCCCAGGTCCCCAAGCAGAGCCAGCACCCCAGGGACAGGCAGGAGCTGTTCCCTGGCCATGCCCTCCCCTCCCATCCACCACTCAGCTGGGAATCCCAGTGCTGGGAGCTCAGTGCTCCAGGATGGCCTCCAGGACTGCCTGGCTGGATCCCCACCGGGTCTGGGGGCACAGGAAGGCACAGCCCCCCTTTCCCACTTCCCCCCCCACCCCCGTAACTCTGGGTTACCCAACACCTGAATCCCTGAGTATCCACATCCCCAGGAAGTTTGCAGCTTGGCACCATCACCCCTCCCTGCCCGCATCCCTGGGAGCTCACAGCCCATGGATACACCTCCATCCCCTGGCACCCTCCCCCAGGTCTCCCCATCCCTCTCATCCCTATCCTGCCCTCTTCCCACTCTACTTGCAGCCCCTTGGAGTCCACATCCCACCTCCCCTGGCACCTTTTCCCCCTGTACCCCCACCCCGCAGTACTGGCACCCCCTGGCACTCCCACTGCCCCGGCAATTCCCGTCCCCGGTACTTCCCATCTCCGGTACCCCCATCCCCAGTATCCCCATCCGTGGTACCCCGTCCGCGGTACCTCCACCCCTATATCCCCATCCCTGGTATCCCCATCCCGGGTATCCCCATCCCAAGTATTCCCATCCCCGGTCCCCCCGCGCCCGCGGAGCTCCCCGCGCATCCCTCACCGGGCGGAGGCGTTGGATCCCTGCTGCGGGATGCGCTGCGCTCCGCTCCCGCCGCCCGGCCCTTCCCGCCCGCGCGGATCGCCGGGAGCTGTAGTCCAGGACCAGCATCCCAAAGCGCCGGCCAAGAGGGAAAAGTGCCGCTTCCCAGCGGTTTATCCCGGAAAAGCCGGCGCGCGCTGCCCTGCGCGGCTGGGATGGTGCCACCGGGGATGCGCGTGGTGGATCCAGCACCTCCCATCCCCTCAAATCCCGTCTTTTCCTCGGGAGCCGGAGCACATCCAGGGATGTGGGTGCCCTCAGGAGGGGGATCAGCCCAAACGGGAGCCCCAAAGCCATGGATGGGGTGCCCGGGGGGGGGGGCTCCTGCCCCAAGCAGAATGGGAATGGGGAGAGGAGATGCTCGGGGGATGCAGGATTTCCCTCCGGAGCTGGGAATGGCTCTGAGGAGGCGTCTCCTGCCGTGAAGCACAAGTTGGGAACAACCCAAAATTTTAAGCACCAGAGTGCTCGTCTGAGTTAAATTCCCAAGTGGAGGAAACAATCCTTGGGGTCAAAATCAAGGCCTTCTGCTGGAATTAAAACCATCCCAAGCTCTGGAGATGAATGGGGTCAAGTCACACCTGCCCAAAGGGCTGGAAAAGCTCCTGGAATTACACATTGTTGGAACCCTCCACCCTGCTCTGGGCAGCAGAGGCATTCCCAGGGAAACACATGGGCATTTCTGGGAGCAGGCAGGATCTCTGTGTGGACAGGGATGTGCTTCTATCGGGAAAGGCCTGTGGTGGAAGTCCAGAGTCTCCCCCAAAAGCTGCCCAGGGAAGGAAACAACACATTTCCTACAGCTCCAGTCACGTGCTGGGAACAGCCAGGCCTGGGATACCTCATGGAGCAGAATTCCCAGTGTCCAGCTGCTGTTCTTTGCCTTCAAACACAAGTCAGGTGTGGTCAAGGCTGGGCTTTATAAAGGTGTTTATTAAGTACATGGCAGCCCTTAATATATATGAACCCCCCAATAATATGAAATAATACATAAAAAATTCTATTCCAGCAGTTTTTTCCACAGAAAGCCCTTTCCTCTCCTCTCCCTCCAGCACCAGCTCTGCAGAAGGAATTAAATTAATCCATCAGGGCTGGATGATCCCAAAGGAGTTACGTTGGGATCCCCCCCATCAGCCAGGGCACACCTACAGCCTGGTGTGTCCTTCCACACCTGGTTATCCAGCTGCAAATCATCTTGGGGGTGCTGAATATTCCCCAAATCTGGGACATTATTTGGAAATCAGGTGCTGGACGCTTTGTCTTGCAATGAATCCGTAAAAAAAGTTCCCTTAGAAAGGGATCGGGACTGAAACTTGGATTTACCCTGGGTTATTCACAGGGATTGGGCCGCCCAGTTTGGCATAAATTTATCTCCAAGCTTTTCCATTGGTTTTCCTCTTGGTGTGGGATTTGGGGGGCCTGGCTTATTAATTTTTTTTGTAAACAGTGGAGGGTTTTTTTCATTAAATAGGATAAATTTGCAGTTCTCAGGGTGGAAAACGCGATCCAAGGAGCCAGGAGGTTCTTTCCAGCTGGTGGTGGAAGAAAGGAGAGGATTCCATGGGGGAACACACTCGGCCCCTTGCTCAGGAGAGCCAAATCTGGGATTCTCCCCCATTTTCCAAAGCAATTGGGTACTGTTTAATAAAAAAGGCTGACTTTGGCACCTCCAGTTTGTCTTTCCTCCAGCTGGGCTCGTGCCTGGTTGGGTTCTCCAGGATTTTGGGCAGGAAACAAAGGAATTTTGAAACTCTTCCCACATCCCAGGGAAACGGAGTCTCTCTGTGGATTCTCTCTGACTCCTGGGGACAGAAGTTCTGGGAGTTCAGAGCTGAACCTGGGGAGCAACATCCAACACTTGCCATTCCTCTCAGTCCCTCATTCCTGCTCAATTCCCTGATTCTCCAGGGAGCTGTTCCACGTTCATTGCTTGGGAAACGTTTCCAGTGGGAATCTGCACCAAAAAAAAGGCAAAATACTTCAGACAGCAGCAAGTTGTGAGGGGTTAAAGGGAGATATGCAGGGACAGAGCCCTGTCTGTGTCAGTCCTGGGTGGAAACCCACAGGAATTCTTCATCTCTTTCCCAGAATACTCTTTTCCCTGCTCTAAACAGGGGCAGGGGCTGGTTTTGGGGTGAGGGGCTGGTTTGGGATTTGAGGGGCTGGTTTGGGGTGTGAGGGACTGGTTTGGAGGATGAGGGGCTGCCTTGAGGGGCTGTTTTGGGAGGTGAGGGGCTGTTTTGGGGTCAGAATGCAGGGACAGACCCCCACGACGGCCCGGGGGGGGGTCGGTGTGTGGGCAAGGCCGGGCCCCGCCGCTCCCCACTCCCCTCCGGCTGCCGTCCCGCAGCCCTGCCTGGCCGGGCGACCCGTGGAGAGTCTCCCGGAGCCGTGTCCCGATCCCGGATCCCCGCGGGATCCCCCTTCGGCACCGCCCGACCCGCGGCCTTCTCGCTCCGCGCAGCCGCCGCGGACTACAACTCCCGCCATGCCTCACCGAACCACAGCTCCCGCCGTGCCTTGCGGTGCACCCGCCGCACTACAGTTCCCGGCACGCCCCGCGCCCGCCCGGGCCCTGCCGCCGTGTCTCTTTCCCTCCGCCCGCCGCGTGGACTACGCTACCCGTCATGCTTTGCGCGGGGCGGCCGCCGGCTGTTACGGCGGCGGCGCGCGGGGCATGCCGGGAGCTGTAGTCCCCGCGGGGCCGCGGCTGTAACGGTCCCGCTGGTGGTACTGCCCCCCTCCCTCCCTCCCCCCTTTCCCATTCCCGGCTGGCGGCTGCGGGAGCAGCGGGAAGAGGAGGAGGAGGAGGAAAGGGAGAGGTGCTGTACCGGCACAGGGGCCGCCGCCGCCCGAGCAGCCGCAGGTGAGACGAGGGGAAGCGGCGGGGGGACACCCCCGGGTGACAGCGGCGGGGTCGGGGGGGGGTGTTGAGTGCGGGGTCCCCCCGACCCCCGTCGGGGATGGGGAGGAGGATGGAGAGCATCCCCCCTCCCGCGGG